GACACAGCGAAGGGACAGTGAGGTGTGATCGCGTTTAGATAGAGGTTGATAGAGGACGATCATACAGTTATAGACGAGATGGACACGCTGGTGAATTACGGGTTCATGGATTCCTTCCGCCACTGGTGGGGCAAGAACAGGCTTGCCGATGCCGAATACGACGTGCTGAGCTCGTCGCTACCGTTCTACCCTGAGACAGACGGTACACGCGTTGCCAAAGTGGTTGACGTGCCCATTGGAGATGAGAAGTTCATCCACGAGTTTAACGTGAAGAACGTTGTTGCCGGTGAGGAGGAGAAGCACGTTGTGCTTGTGCATGGCTACGGAGCTGCACTGGGGCTGTTCTACAAGAACTTCAACGGACTGTCTCAGAGGTCCAATGTCAACATCCATGCTCTAGACATGTTGGGCTATGGGCTGTCATCAAGACCTCCGTTGCCCAAATTCAACGGCAACAGTTTGGAGGATGTTAAACAAGTTGAAGATTTCTTCCTGGATTCCATGGAGAAATGGCGTGAAGAGAGAAACATTGAGAGTTTCCATCTCATTGGCCACTCGTTCGGTGGTTATTTATCTGCGCTATACGCGTTGAAATATCCGACACGAGTCGATAAGTTGGTGCTTGTGAGCCCCGTTGGTGTTGAGAGAAGCGTATATGATCTCTCCATACCAGAAGCGGAACGCCAGAAGGCACACGTCGAAGGCCCCGACGTTGAGCGAGAAGTTGGCTCTCATTACCGTGACACTGACGAGCACATCAAATCGTCGTCCGTACACGTGCCAGATGAGAACGGATACGTCTCACGCGTGCCAAATCTACCCAAACACATCACATACCTCTGGGAACACAACATGTCACCTTTCAGCATCCTCAGAGTGCTAGGACCATGGGGCCCAAATGTCACCAAGAAATGGTCCTTTAGAAGATTTGGAGGCACCGGCGACGCTGACATGACCATGAAGCTCCACGTCTACTGCTACAACACCTTTGTAGCCAAGGCCTCTGGCGAATACGCCCTGACAAGGGTCCTGGGACCCGGTGCGCTCGCACGATACCCGTTGCTAAACCGTGTTCCAAAGCACCTGACTCAGGAATCGCTTTGGCTCTACGGCGACGTCGACTGGATGTCCAAAGAGGCTGGTAAGACAATAACAGATGAGATCAACACACACGGCAAGGCACATGCGCACTACGATATTGTCTCGCACGCAGGCCACCACTTATACCTCGACAACCCCACGGAGTTTGATTCAAAGGTGTACAGTTTCTTCGGATGGTGAACTCTTTTTCCCATACATACATCAACCAATCAACGAAGCCATTCCCCCTGTAGATCAGCACATTCGTGGCATCCTTCTAGAACGCTGTAAAAGCCTCGTAACAACTACAGCTGGCATTCATAGCCGGAAGATTGGCATTGGTCCAACGACGACGCCACGCGATGCAAGTGAAATTTCACCTGAATAGGGAAAAACTGCAAATTCTGGTGGGAAGGCCCACTTCTCACACTCTAACAAAACTCATACTGGGAAAAGGAGACGAAGCCTGGCTAGCAAGCTGGTTTATATATACATTCAGCTCTGGACATACGAGCAGGTGCTTTCAATTGGTGTTCATCAAGCTGGTAGGTCGTAGCAGTGAGAAGAAGCGAGAAAGAGAGAGAAGCTGTTTCTTCCATACATTTCTAGATTTTTCACAGCTGGGGGGCCCTGGCAACGATTTCCCCCTATTGAAGCAGTGGCCATCATTTACCCTAGGCGGGCTCTCCATTGAGACAGTCTAACCCATTGGCCGGCACTACACGTACACACTGGTCACCACACAGCTGTGATGCTTGAACCGTCGGTGCGACTGCGCCAGGCCATCGTTGACGGTAACCTGCTCGTTGTGAAGAGGTTGCTGAAGCGGTTCCCGGATATGTTGGAAAACGTGGATTCTGAGAACGGATGGTCATCATTGCACTACGCTTCGTATCATGGAAGATACCTCATATGTGTGCATCTCATATCTCTGGGACACGATAAGAAGGAGGTGCTGCGCAGTTTTAAGGGCAATACCAGCGTGCACCTCGCCTTGAAGAACGGCCATGAACAGACAACACATTTACTACTACAGCATTTCCCCAAGTTGCTGGATATCCCTGGAGAAGAGGGGCACACGCCATTGCAAGTGAGTGTTATCAAGGACTACTTCAAATGTGTTGAGATGCTGCTGGCTATGGGCGCTAAGATCCAGGTGGTGGACAACGAGGGAAACAACGCGCTCCATCTGGCAATGAAGTACGGGGCTGTTCACTGCATCAGATTGCTGGTACAATATGGTGCTGACACCAAGCTGAAGAACAGGCATGGCCTCAGGCCTGTGGATATGGCGGCGAGCTTCCAGGTGGAGAAGTACTTGAAAGATGTCTTGAGCGATTCCCATTCGAGCGATAGTAACGATGATGCAGTTTCAATAACCCTTGGAGAATCGCCACTTATGCAACAGCAACAACCGGCACATCGTGTACATTCGAACTCATTGCCACCGTTACCTTCTGTCACCACTGCGCGTCGTTCCAGTGTAACCTCAACATCAACGGCGACGAAATCACCGGTACCGCGTAGTGCGATATCTCTTGCATTTAACGGCTCAAATACGTTGTCGTATGTCTATTCACCACAGCATGGGCCATCTCCAAACAGTTCGAAATCACCATCTGCCGGGCTATCGCTCTCTATCAAGCCACCCACCGGTGGTGTGACGCAGGCGTCACCAGTATTGTACTCCCCAAGTAACCTCACAATTCCAGTGGGAATCAACCCAATAAGAGAGGAATCAGTGCACCTGAAGAACGCTCACTCACTGTCGTCTTTCCCATCCATGACGTCTATTTCCTCTGTAGGAGGCAGTGGAGGAACATGTACCACACCTTCTGAGCTGACCAGAAGACGAACCAATTCACAACAGATTCAGACAACAACAAATAGCATTTCATTCCAAAGGATATCCAAGACACGCTCCAATTCTAGTGGCAGTCGATCAACAAACACAACGTCATCTACGAACGGTATCGCAAAGAATTACACTGAAGATAAGAACAACACCTCTGCTGAGTCATCTGTCATCAATCTTAGCCGTACTTCAACAGTCCAATCTGATGTTGTTGAACAGACTGTGAATACATTGCCCACTATCCATCAAGCAGGGAGACGGACGCCAATTCTCAATTTGCCGATCATTGGAAGGGTGCGGAGAGATTGAAAGGAGAAGAGACGGTAGTTTGGTATGAAGGATCGTCTATATGCGGCTGGTGCTGAAAGCAGAGTATCTCCCATCACTGACAGCTCACAGCTCACAGCTCACAATCTGTTCTAGAGCTGTAACGTCTGGATGTACTTGTACACACGTACACGCTTTATCATATTATAAGGTTGTAACCCATGTTGGTGTATTAAGATCGGAGTAGTTCCATTAAGTTGAGGGGACAAGACGTTAGATGATACCTCCCAGATATTGACTTCCCAACAATACAGCTATGTTTATTTCACTCCTTAGGATGCACATGTGATGGTGATACAACCACCAGCATGTCGTCTAACTAACCTACTTCTCTTGCTCTCGTTGGAAAGCCTGCAATCTTCTTCTTGACAACAGCATATGGTGAAGAATGTGCACGCCTCCGCGTTTCTGGCTTGGCTCTCTCTTTAGTATTCTACACCTGCTGTAATCCATATAATGGAGCTAATGTCATCTGATAGCCAATCTCATCTGAGAGCCAATGTCATCTGAGAGCCAATGTCATCTGAGAGCCAATGTCATCTGGCAGCCAAAAGTGGTTACGCCTCAGGCTCTGACATAGTCACTCATGGTGCCTCATAATTGGAAGTCTTTTCAAGATTGACCTTTTCGGGCCAGCTAGAACACCAGCTACGAAGAGCCGTTTCCTCTCCCTTTAAAATACATACTAAGCTCACAATAGGCTAAAACATCAACTTCATCTCACCAGTACTTGTGTTGGAAATCATTGTGTAGATTGTCTCATCTTGCTCAAGACTCGCTCTCGAACAGCTGCTTCAAGTGCGCTGTAGCTTATAATTTTCCAGTACTCTCACCTACTGGAAGAAACAGGCAGTGCGGACTTTCATTTAGCCGTGATGATGTCATAGGACAGCGCAAATCAAGCGAACAGTCCTCGTGGTTGAAGGTCAAGCGACAAGGCTCGCACTGGAATCACGCCGGCACGATCGTAGTAGTGGTGAGCCCTTGGCTGATAGGCTCAACTGTTGGAGAATTGTTGTGGAGCCATTCACTTTACCTGGATGTTTCTCCGACAGTTGGTTGGAATGATGATAGGCACATAGCTGGACTGAAATGAATACTGGTTTGGATGGCTGTTTTCTTTAATGAAAGAACTACCTTAGCAAGACCACCTCACAGATGGTAAAAGGAGGGCGTGGTATGAGGCATTGACTGTGTTTTTCCAATGTGAAACCAAAGCTACAACACTGGAACGACTGTACTGTTTAAGGCCCCTTTGCCATACACTTTGACAGTGTTTGATGCAACCCATAATGCACTGTCTTACAGAAAAACATGGGGTGCGCTAAGAATGTCTGTTCATTCGAAGGAAGGATGGTGCTACAAAAGGGAAACAGACAACTGGGGTGATTGACTCTCCTGTGTCATTCGCCAGCATCTTTCCATTGGCAGAGGGTTACATTTGCAGGTGGTCATCTGCTGGAGTAAGCTCCGGGAAGGGTGTGTATAGCTGCGTATATAAAGATGTGAATGCATCCGCACTACTTCAATGTCTCCAAAATGAATACACAGCACCACACGCTCTGTCCTTGAAACATGGCCAATCCAAGTAGTTTCCCACATCAAGGCCCTGAATGGCCACACGAGAAGAAAGCAACAGCTGCAGATACAACCACTGTCCAGAATGACGCAGAGATGGGAATTGAAGAAGACGTTGAAGAAAACAAGAACATCTTGTCACAGTACGATCAAGAGCATGTTATGAATATGGGTCGTATGTTTGCAAAGGCCTATGATTTGGATCCAGAGCTATTCGCAAGAGGTGCTGCAGTTGCTCAGAGACCAAAATCATTTGCAAAAATGGACATCTTATCAGAGGATGAGAAAGAAGCCCTTCAGAGAGAGATTGATCATCCTTGGGACATTCCAGCAAAGCTATGGCAAATTGTCCTCTCTGTATCCCTGTGTGCTGCAACACAAGGTGCTGATGAGACTGTCATCAACGGTGCGAATCTATTCTATCCCGCATACATGGGTATAGACGATGATGATGAAAGATCCCGCTGGCTGCAAGGCCTGGTGAATGGATCTCCATATCTCTTCTGTGCTCTTGTTGGCTCGTTCATTACTGATCCTCTGAACAAGAGATTCGGTCGTAAGTGGGTGATCTTTTGGTCCTGTTTCTTCTCCTGTATTACATGTTTTTGGCAAGGTTTTGTTGACAGGCATTGGTTCCATCTGTTCATAGCTCGAGGCTGTCTGGGTGCCTTGGGTCTAGGACCTAAGTCTGCAACAGTTCCAGTTTACTCTTCAGAGGCGGCACCAGCAGCAATTCGTGGTGCACTGACAATGCTATGGCAGTTTTTCACGGCAATGGGGATTGCCTTAGGTTATGTCTTTTGTATAGCATTCTACTACGTTCCAGAACACAATATTGGTGGTGGTTTGAATTGGCGTTTGATGCTTGGCTCCGCCATGTTACCAGCGTTGCTGGCCCTGGCTCAGATCCCATTTTGTCCAGAATCGCCACGTTGGTTGATGGGTAAAGGTCGCTTCACTGAAGCATGGACATCACTTCGTTCCATCAGGAAGCACGATATCACTGCAGCAAGAGACCTGTTTTACCAATATGTCCTGTTAAAGGAAGAAGAAGGAATGGATATGCCAGCCTCCCAACGCTTGAAGGAGTTGTTTACCGTCAGACGAAACCGTAATGCAACCATTGCATCGTTCATTGTAACTTTCATGCAACAGTTCTGTGGTATCAACGTCATTGCTTATTACTCATCATCGATCTTTGTTGAAGCTGATTTCGCAGAAATAAACGCCCTTGGTGCATCCTTAGGGTTCGGTGTGTTAAATACAGTCTTTGCTCTTCCTGCCTTCTTTACTATCGATCGTTTTGGAAGAAGATTCCTATTGCTGATGACATTCCCCTTGATGGGGGTGTTTCTATTCCTGGCAGGCTTTTCCTTCTGGATTCCAGAGGAGTCTCAAGATGGGAGGGTTGCCTCTATATGTTTGGGAATATACATTTTCACAATCTTCTACTCTTTTGGATCTGGCGTTGTGACGTTCCCGTATACAGCTGAATGTTTCCCATTGTACATTCGTACACTTGGAACCTCTATCGCAATCGGAAATCTATGGTTCTGGAACTTCATTCTTGCCATTACATGGCCTTCCTTGTTAGATGCGTTCCAACCACAAGGTGCATTTGGGTGGTATGCTGCTTGGAACTTTGTAGGGTTTTTCTTGGTACTATGGTTCCTTCCAGAAACAAAGTCCCTCACACTTGAAGAGCTTGACGAAGTGTTTGATATCCCACTAATGGACCACGCACGGTACCAAACAAGGGAGATTGTGGATGTTTTCAAAGTGTATGTGATGAGAAGAAGCATTGTAAGACAACCCCCATTCTATGAAAAGCATAGACTGGCGGTCACAAACGACGCATGGAACGAGAAACCAGCACCTCAACATGTCGAATGAAGTGTACAATACACGAGCTAATTGAAAGTCTACTGCTATCGATCACATAATGAGAAGTGGACTTTCTCCGTTCTTCCTCTTTGACTTTCCAAGACAGCTATTGACTGTTGCTGGTTTCAATAATGAGCTGTTTTTCGGTGGCTCTTCTGTAATTTATACTGGCAATGAGTTGTTCTATTGCTGTCGACAACTAAGATAATTGCTTGCACTTTTCTAAATTCATGTGCTATTTGTTGTAGTTACATGGCGTTGTTATTTCCCAGATTGATAATAAAAGTGGTGTCATTGAGCACTGGATGTGAAAGGTGGAAGGGCGTAGTTCCCAAGACTCATACGACAGACTTGTACCATATTGTCAGTAAAGCCATGGACACACCATCAAGCTTGCATACCAATCTCAAGGATTGATTCAATCTGCTGTGAAATCAAGATTGACCAACAGAATAAACTGCAGTTGTTTCATATGGTCATAACATGGGGTGTGTAGTGGGTCGATACTGCCTAGTACTAGGTACTTTTTTGCTGTTAACTTCTAAGAAAAAACACGTTATCTAATTAACAGACAATAGAAGTTGTGTCTATGGATAAAGTCTCAACCATAAAGTGATGATTCTATTGGTAGGAAAGCCTTGAAAAGTAGAGGTTATGCAAGCCATAGAGACCCAGATGAAATTTGACATGCAGTGAATGTGAAGCTAGAACTTCGAAAGTTGATACACCGGCCATAGTGTGATGACGGACGCATATTTGTAATTAAAGTTTGCGTTAATGTATGTACATACATCGAATAACAATACAACACATATGTGTATCGAACTTTGAAAGAACAACTCATATTGTTAATGTAGGCCAGTATGACGACAACTTGACAACAGGCTGCAGTTCGTATTGTGGGCAGCTGTGCACATGTTCTTTCTGCCTCTGTGAAGTTTTTCAATAGTTGCTATTATTATTCAACTTGAAATACTTCACCTGATGCTGTTGGTTTGCCCATGCCACATACTACAGTGGTCAGGGCGGAGATCAGGCCGTTTTAGGGAAAAGTTAGAGTAAGGGCTAACCAGCAATAGAGATTGACAAGCTGGCTGTAAAAATCGAGATCGCGGGCGCGCACGCACGCAGGCAAAAAATTGTAGAGCATTTGCGAGACTCTGGGACTATACCATCGTGGTTGTCCAAAGTACGCGGTACTATCAGCCGCGCATTCCCTAGTCCCGTGGTTTAAATTATGCGCATTGCAGTGCGCTTTGCGCCCGGCATTTCTGCCCAGTCTCTGCAGGTGCTATCCGGGTGTTTCAACATTCTTTGCTGTACTAAATGCATGAAAGTGCAGCGATCTCTAAAGCAACGGGGAAAAGTTGGAAAAAACAACCATTCACCCTAAGGTTTTGATTTTGACTGCCTGCCCAGGTGGAACCAAAAAAACACTTATGAGTTGTCACTTCTAGTTTGATAAATTGTGGTCATTGGTAGCATAAGGTGAGAAAATTAGATAAGCTATTAAGTCCAGGCACATTGTGCTGGGGTATATGGACCCTCAGCTAGTTTTTCTGGCACTTTCAATCTCCCAAAGCCTAACACCCGGACACGTCAACCCTTTGGGTGGTTTGGACACGTACGTTCAAAACGGTTCAAGACAATAAAACACTTTCCACACATTTTTTAGCCCCAATAACTTTGACACTTTTTTGCTTGCAGTTCTGGTGTTTTGATAGAACAGTGTTCATTTATCACGAGATTTTGGTGGTCGATCGTGGATATTTTGATAGTAATTTCTGTATTTAATTCCTAGAGTTGAAATGGTGATTTTAATTGAACTCTCAATTTATGATAGATTAATCATATTAGCCTAAATGTTCATATTTATAAATGGAGAGTTGTCGGATGAGTTATTTTTACTTGATAACGATATTTGGACACCATTTTTAAGAAACCCGTCGAGTTTGTCTAGCGTGATTATACATATGTTACTCTGTAAATTAATGAAATCAACGGATTTCCCTACAAATAGACATTTATACAATGGAAATTATAAGGGGATCAATATGACAATCAGATGGAATATCACCCGAATGACCTTGAATTTCCAGCAAGTACTACAGTACGTTCAGTTTCACCGACGGCAGTGACACTGTTTATCGACAGTCAAGCTGGTTTGGGGAGTTATTAGAGACTTATCTTATTGCAGTATAGGTCTCAATCGTTTGCACCTACTCTCTAACAGCCGACATGACCAACTTCGTTAATTTGGAAAACGAAATATGCCATTAAGACTAAGCTGAAGTTATACAGCGCACCAATGATTGGATGCTGTTTGGGACCAGATTTTAGCCTTACACTGAGCAAATACTTAACTTACGCAACATGATCAATATTATGAATTACCTGGTCATGGTGAAGTAGCTGGGGACCAAAATGATATGTTTGATTCGCGGAGCAATAGCCGTATTGAACCGATGATCCACAAGGACTCAAATGAGCCGGTGATCTACCTGGACACTTGGTCAGGAAAGAGGAGGGTTAAGCCCCATCTATAGTGGTTAGAAATAGGTGATAGCTGCTGAATTTCATTTTAGGGGAATATGGAACACACTGCATATCAGTGTAACTCACAATTAATACGGGATCGTAACCAGACAAGCTAAATTGCAAATTAAACTGACCGATAGTGGGAACGGAATTGGTAGTCTTGGAAAAAAAAAATTCGGCCAATGGCTAGGTATACGATATCGTAACGTCTACCCTGAAAGTGAGACTTTGCAAATTTGCAAGTTTCAACGACAGTTGTTTCAAGATAGTGGACGACGTGGTACTCACGCATACTGCATACGACTAGTTGCTGAAAAATTACACAGATGCCTTCGATGTAAGATTTGCGACGTATTATCTGCACGTGCAACTTTTTCGAATTTAATCGCACGCAATGTTTATGACTTTTATGACTTTAACTTTCCTGAGACTGCACTCAGCCTTTAACCCTTTGGATACTGTCAATTACTGGTGCTGATTTCATGAGTTAGAATTTGACAGATGCTGTAAGCCCGAATATGTAAGAAGTTGTCATTTATATCTCTTATGAGCAGCAATTATAGCGAGTTGCATCGTGCAATACCCTAGTCTTGGGTAAGTTATAACAAACCCCTACTTCCTGATTGTGTACACAGTACAACCTAAGACTTGATCTTCATAGCAATGTAACGAGCATTGCGACATTCGGGGGGGGGTTTGTAAGGTTAAGAATTTGAGGCTAGAAAGCTCTGGTGGTGCAGCACACAAGACTCTAAACCTTGCATTGTCGAAAGGTTTAGGTCACAGCTGTTAAGGCTGTGGTACACAGTCAACAGTATGGTAATGTAAACGAAAGCATATAATAATCTTCAAGTTTTTCTCAATCCAACCATGTTCTGTCGATAATGCCTTTAGTTTCTTGGGGTCATATCAGGTCTCTTTTCAGAGATGCAATAGAAGGTGACTCAGTGCTTACCTCTCGAATTTACCATAAATGACATTCAAAATCATTTCCATGCCTGTTGTACACACCATCTAAACATATATAAAACGTAAGCTCACAAGATGCGTTCATATACACATATAGCTACATAAGGTAACATATTTGGTGCAATGTAAAGACGAATCCATAACACTGATATCTACCAAGATAGTGAGCTAACATAATCAATTTTTGGATACAAAGGAGTAATCCCTGCAATGGTGAAGAATATTTGGAAAGCCCTGATACACCCAAAACAGGACAGTCAATTAAGATACCTCGTATAATGCTCAACCATAGCGTATGACTGAGCTATCGCTACTGCTTCAACTATTGTAAAGCCCTAGTTGACCAGAGTACACTGCCACATAATGCACCCAAAATGAATCACTGCATTGGTACCTTATCTCTGAACAGCATCTCAAAAGCAAGTTGCTATTAGGTAGATGGGTACTTTGGCCGATATATGTCGCACATTATGGTTGGGATTAGGAATTTTGATAGATCCCCGAGTGTTAATCAGCAGGTCTACTGTATAAACACAGCTTTCTAGTGATGAATGACGAACATTGATATGATTGGTAGCCTTTTTAGGCTTGAAACTGGCACCATCAAATGTCCTGACCCTTTTAGGATGCGACATCGGAATTTCCTCAACGCCAACGTATTTTTTCCACTATCAAGGTGAACATTATTGTCGATCAAACAGTAATAATCTGCACATCATTGCCGATCAGCTGATCATCGCCGGATCATTTGCGAAAAAACCACACATTCAATGTTGCTTTCTGAAGAAGACAAGCCATGAGCTCCTATAAAATTCACAACTTTCGGGAATTAAGAAATCCCATATCGTATACCAGTTCCATCAAAGGAAACATAGAAGAAACTTACTTGAGCAAACGAAACGCAGATTGCATATCATAATACCTTTACGTCGGAAAATTAACCACCCCACAAACCATAACCTGGCATAGAAGTACATCTTCCAATGAGTACAAAATATAGTCATTTTTGGATATCGAGTGTTTTAGTAAGGAATAATGCAATATGAATGAAGTTTATACCAATCATTGTTCAAATTAGATCCAGATTTGATTGGTATTTTTCGACTGAACTCGTGATCTGCAATAGTATTTCCAGGGTTCCTGAGTTGTTTACCTGTGATTATGTGTCTTCATTTCTTTAGTCCGAGATTGCTCATCTTTAACATTGAAGAAGTAACCTAGTAAGTCCTGTTAGTAATGAGCCAACAATATTACCAGCCACACAGTCAACGCCCGAAATGCCAACTTAACATCCTCCAAAATTTGAACACTAGATATCCTGAATAGAATCAAATGTTCGAACAAATTATAATGGGACAAAAAGCCTAACCTTGTCGTACATCTTGAAGTTTTCGAATTGTAAAAATGCACATGTGGAAGTGAGGCTAAAGAAGTAAAGCTGATGGTTCCCCTTAGAGGTTATCATGTGGCTTTTCTATGTTGTTTGACATTTCCATGCGTTA